CCGGCACCTAGGCACGGCAGCTCTTGGAGCAGAGTAAACAGGTTTGGAGGACCTGCACGGGCCCCCAGCACAACACCAGAGCCCGGCGCAGTGGCTGTGACGGCACCTCGGCGCGGCAGCGCTCGGTGCAGAGTAAACGGGACCGGTTCCCCTTCTGACCGAGGTTTGGAGCCCCGGGAAGGCAGAGTCGCCTACTAGGGACACAAGAAGGAAGCCCGACAGGAGAATCCTGGGAAGAAAAGCACCATCAGTTTTAACTCCGCTGCTCTGGCCCTGGGAACTAACAACCTGGACGCCCACTCAAGAGACCTAATCTGAAAGTTGGTAAATTCAAAGACGACAGGAGGATAAATTTACAATGACAGGAAGAAACCAGCATAAAAAAGCTGAGAATACTCAAAGTCAGAACGCCTCTCCCTCTAAAGATGATCACAGTTCCACATCGACAATGGAACAAGGCTTGATAGAGAACGAGCGCATCCCAATGACAGAAGTACTCTTCAAGGAATGGATAATAACAAACTTCGGTGAGTTAAAAGAACATGTTGTAGCCCAACGTAAAGAAACTAGGAACTTTGAAAAAAGGTTTGATGAAATCCTATTGAGAATAGACAACTTAGAGAGGAATATAAGTGAATTAATGGAACTGAAGAATACAATACAGGAACTCCGAGAAGTTTGCACAGGTTTAAACACTCGAATTGTTCAAGCAGAAGAAGGGATATCAGAGGTCAAAGTCCAACTTAATGAAATAAAATGTGAAGAAAAGATTAGAGAAAAAAGGATAAAAAGGAATGAGCAAAGTCTCCAAGAAATGTGGGACTATGTGAAAAGACCAAATTTACATTTGATAGGTGTACCTGAATGCGATGGAGAGAATGAATCCCAGCTGGAAAATATCCTTCAGGATATTATTCAGGAAAATTTTCCTAAACTAGCAAAGCAGGTCAATATTTAACCCCAGATAATACAGAGAACACCACAAAGATATTCCTCAAGAAGAGCAACCCCAAGGCACATAATCGTTAGATTCACCAGGGTTGAAATGAAGGAGAAAATACTAAGGGCAGCCAGAGAGAAAGGGCAGTCAGGTTACCCACAAAGGCAACCCTATCAGACTTACAGCAGATCTCTCGGCAGAAACTCTACAAGCCAGAAGAGAGTGGGGGCCAATATTCAACATCCTCAAAGAACAGAACCTTCAGCCCAGAATTTCATATCCAGCCAAACTAAACTTCACAACTGAAGGAAAAATAAAATCTTTTATGAACAAGCAAGAACTCAGAGATTTTATTACCACCAGGCCTGCTTTACAAGAGCTTCTGAAAGAAGCATTACACACAGAAAGAAACAACCAGTATTAGCCTTTCTAAAAATACACCAAAAAGTAAAGAGCACCAACATAAAGAAGAATTTACACCAACAAATGGATAAAACAGCCAGTCAACATCAAATGGCAGTAACCCTAAATTTAAATTGACTAAAATTTCCCAATAAAAAGACACAGCCAAAACCCAACGGCATGTTACATCCAGACCTGTTTCACATGCAAGGATACACAAAGACTCAAAACAAAGGGATGGAGAAAGATTTACCAACCAAATGGAGAGCAAAAATAAATAATAAATAAATAAAAAGCAGGAGTTGCAAATCTCGTATCGTATAAAATAGATTTTAAAGCAACAAAGATACAGTGGTAAAAGGATCAATGCAACAACAAGAGCTAACGATCCTAACACCCAGATACATAAAGACTTAGACTCAATGAGACAGAAAATTAATAAGGATATCAAGGACTCGAACTCAGATCCGGAACAAGTAAACTTAATAAATATTTATAGAGCTCTCCACTTCAAATACACAAAATATACATTCTTGTCAATACCACATCACACCTACTCATAAGTTTAAATGAAACAGTGATTGGCCATTATTAATACCCAATTTTTTTCAGAATATAGCAATATTTCCGTTTACTCTCCCTCTTTCTCTTTCTTCCTCTCCTTTACTTATTTTTATTTTATTTTTTCTTTCCTTCTCTCAGAAAAAGAAATCAACTTGTAAACCTCTAGATCCAGGTCGGCGATGTCTCTCTCATTGCTTGATTTCCTTCCTTCCCTTCCCTCCCTCCCTTCCACCCTCCCTCCCCCCTTCTTCCCTTCCTTCCTTCCTTCATCCCTTCCTTCCTCCCTACCGTCCTCCTTCCCTCCCTTCCTGCCTAAAAAAAAAAAAAGTTCGTGCCCTTTGTAGGGACATGGATGAACCTGGAGACCATCATTCTCTGCAAACTGACACAACAAAAAATGAAATACCGCATGTTCTCACTCATAGGTGGGTGTTGAACAATGAGAACACATGGACACAGGGAGGGGAGCACTACACACTGGGGTCTGTTGCGGGGAATAGAGGAGGGACAGCGGGGGATGGGGAGTTGGGGAGAGATAGCATGGGGAGAAATGCCAGATATAGGTGAAGGGGAGGAAGGCAGCAAATAACACTGCCACGTGTGTACCTATGCAACTATCTTGCATGTTCTTCACATGTACCCCAAAACCTAAAATGCAATTAAAAAAAAAAAAGCCAGTAACTTCCTCTTCCTCTGTTGTTCAGGAGATCAGTGGAACAGGACACAGGTTATTTACTCAATTACCTTGTCTTTCTACCTCTCTTTTCGTTCTCACCCCCACCCCTCCCCTTCCTTCTTATTTTTTGGCTCTATTTTCTTGCCTGTTTCTCCCAACGCAGTGTCCATCTTACTCTCCCTCTTTCTCTTTTGCCTTTTGCCCTTTAACTAACTGGTCATCACTGAGGTCTTTAGCTTCAAAGTTCATCTTTAGCACTTGTGTGTGTTTCTTTTTAAATTTATTTTTTATTTTATTCCTGAGGGAGGGACAGAACCCCCCCCACCCGCCTCCATGCCATTCCGGATAATCCTGGATAGCAATTGTGTTTTTATTGATGTTTGTGCTGACTTCAAGTAAAATATAGGCAGGATAAAACCCACTAAATTAAACTGCTTTATCCTTGAATGTGACTCTGGATTGGTTAATTGGAGAAATATAGAGTGGGGGTGTCTGAAATAGAATAAGACCTTTCCATTTAGATAGAGTTTTGGACTAGTGCTTTTGCATCGGGTCAGCTGAGAAAGAATAGAATTGAAAAATGTGTACACATCTCTAATGTGGGACAATGGTTTAAGGCATTGGAGTGGAATTGAGCCATTTGGATCAAATCCCTGCTCTGCCATGTGTAAGGTATATGACTTGGGGAAGTCCCTTAAGCTTCCTGAGAATCACAGTCTCAGCCTTTTGTCATTTAGCTGTAAGCTTCTGACAGTCAGGGATCAGATTCATGATTTCAAAAGGTAGGAAACACTGGTGTCCTCAGGGAGAACAGTCCAGACAACCCCTCCAGCCAAATCCTCAATGTTAGTTACTTTTTATTTCTGGATAATGAGATTGGCTACCACATAACAGTACTGGTAGCACAGCCCAGGCACTGTATGAGCCTCAGTCATGTATTGTAGGGTAGGGTGATGGCTAAAGGCCTGGTCTTTGAAGCCAGAGTGCCCATGTTTAATTCCTGGCCCCATTACCCGTGGCAGATATCTGAGTTACTGGTGGCATATCCATACGGGTCTACAGTAACCTCAATTCTTGCCTCCTCAGAAGAAAGAATTTGAGGGGCATAAAGTAGGAAAAGAGAGTGAGTCAAGTTTCAGAGCAGGAGTGGAAGTTTATTGAAAAGGTTTTAGAACAGGAAGAAATCCAAATGGGCAACTTGGAGAACAAACATGGTGTTTAACTGTGATCCTAGGACTTTATAGGCTGCCACCTTGTGCCCTTTTCCTGTGATTCCTCCCTTAGAGTGGGCTGCCTGCCTGCATAGTACCCTCCTTACCTTTGTAAATTGAGCAGTGTGTTTAGGAAGTTGTGTGCATGCTCATCTGAGGCTTTCTTTCCTTTTCTCATGCAGTGCCCCTGGGAAGTCATCTTCCACCATTTGTCTTTTAATGTGCATGCCCAGGAAGTTGCTTCTCCCTAGTGCCTGAATTCAGTTGACGCTCTAATGCTAACAGTGAAAAAAAAATCTCCTGCTGGATCAGCAGGAGATTGTCTCTCTCCCTGGCTCCAGCTGCCAAATTATCATTTTTAGAGAGGCAACGTGATCATTGTCAGACTATCACCTGACATTCCTAGTGGGTGGGGGAGAAGAGCCCTTTCCTGCCATGCCTGTCTAACTACCTGTAACAGCCCAACATTTACATCAGTGTAAATTTGGGAAGTTAATCTGTGACTCAGTTTCCTCATCTGTTAAGTAACAATAATGACAATAATAGTGACTGTGAGTGTGACTTTATTTGGAAAAACGGTAGGTATTTGTAGATGTAATTAAGCTAAGGATCTTGAGATGAAATCCTCCTGAATTTAGGATGGGCTGTAAATCTGATGACTGGTGTCCTTATACGAGAAAGGAAAAGGAAATTTGACACACAGAGCAACCGGGGAAAAGGCCATATGAAGACGGAGGTAGAGATTGGAGCGATACAGCCAAAAGCCAAGGAATGCTAAGAGGCTGAAAAAGACAAGAAAGTCATCTCTTCTAGAACCCTCAAAGGGATTCCCGCTGATACCTTAACTTTTGGACTTCTGGCCTTCCAGAATTATGAAAGAATAAATTTCTGTTTGAAACCAGCAAGTTCGTGATAACTTGTTGTGGCCGCTGTAAAAATGCAGATATAGATTTTATAGAGATGATAATATTACATGCACCTTATAGGATTGTAGCCATTTAAATTAATGGCTGCATTTAAAGTGCTAAGAGTGGAATCTGGAATACAGTAAGAACTCTTTAGTGCAGGCTATTATGTGTTGTTATCTCATTGACACTTACATAGGCATCCTATGAAGCAGATACTATTGTCACTCCCATTCCACACATGAGGAAATAGAGGCTTACAGAGACTAAGTAAAGGTAAGCTGGTTTGAACTCTGTTCTAGCTTGAATCATTCCCCAGAAGTCTGTGGAGTTTGACTATCTGGTGATGGATCCTGGTGACTGTTGGCTCAGTGACCTTCCTGATGATGGACTCTCGGAAAAGACTCTCCAGTGCTGAGCCATCGAGAAGTCTAGAAGGTATTGAGAAGGCTGTCTCATGTGGTTATGTTTACTCTTCCTGGTTGCATCTGCCTAGACCTGGTTTTGGCACAAGCTCTGCGCTGACGGAGCCAGGCTCTGTCCACGCTTGGCTGTGTAGCCTGACCTCATTTGGGTAGCCTCAGCACATCATTACCATAAGAGGCAGGGGTGTGCCACCCTAAAAGGCCATACCCTCACTCTCCAGGGACTTCAACAGCCCCCATAGTTCCTTGTTCACCCCTAAATTGCTAAGCATAGATTATACAAATGGCTTTAGAAGTAAGTTACACCACTTAGAATAAGGCAAAGCCCTCACTAGTGCCTTCAAGGCCTTATGAGCAGGGTACCCCATTGTTCCTCTGACCAGCTCCTACTACTATTCTCCCCTCAGGGCCTTTCCATGTTGCTGTAAAGCTCTTGCCTCAGAGTTATGCAGGCTATCTCCCTACGATAGAAATCACCTTTTCAGGCTAGTCCTAATCACTACATCCTTCCTCTTTACTTCCTTGCTTTTTCTTCCTCTTTAGCATGTAAAATTATGTAATATACTGTTAATTTTTGTTATTTATCTTGCTTATTGTATTTTTCTCCAAACTAGAATATAAGTACCATGAGGATAGGGACATTTCTGTTTGGGTTACTGTGGTAGCTCAGTGCCTAGGGAAGATCTAATTCATAGTAATAATGTATTCATTAAATAATTGTTGAGTGACCAGTTGGAAAAACTGAATGAGGCATAGCCCCCTCTCAAACAACTATAGAACTCCTAAACTGAAATTGTTTAAACTATAAACTAGAGGTAGCACATGAAGAGAGGACTACTGACATAACTGAGCTTTGTAGACTATGGGGGGTACATAGCTTCCAGCTGAGTTTGATTTCGTAGGAGACAAAAAGACTTGGAGAATGGGGGGAATGGAATTACAAATGAAGGAAGTCCCACATTGAAAAAATATCAGAGAATCCAAAATTCATTCATTTGTCCATTAATTTATTCATTCATTCATTCAGCATGGGATATAGCAAGGAACAAGCCAGAAAAAGTCCCTGCCCTCAGGGAGCTTACATTCTAATAGTCATTATGTCAGGAATTCTCATCTTGGACCCAAACTGATATGTTGGTTGGAATGGTAAAATGGGAGGGACTGAAATTTCTGAAGGGCTTGGAGGTCTAGGTAGACCAATATGGCTTTCATCTGGCACACAGCAGGCCATAGGTTCTTGATAAGGAAGAGTCTTAGGAATGTCAATTGTGTAAGATTTCTACCACCACATGAAGGAGGGATTCTGATAAGGAAGAGAATTAGGAAGTGTGGGAGTCACCAGAGAGGGCCATTGTACAAGATCAGATATGCGGTAAGGGTGACTGGAATGGGGGATGTAGATATCACTATAGAAGAAGGTAGGTTTAAGGGGCTTGGGATGAAGTAACTGAGAAAGGATCTTCAAACCCCTGAGTGTGAGAACAACCCATATGTGTATCCTCAAGAAGAGTCCCCTGATGGAGAAGAAGGAAGGTAGAAGAGGTGGTGTGGAAACTCTGACTCTGGGAGTTGGAGGAATGACAAGGCCAGATTAGGACCAGTCTTATGGGCTTCAGTGATTGTTCCATCATTAGACTATGTAAACACAGGAAGGACCTCAACGTTCCTTGGATGTTTGCTCATCAACACTTGTCCACATTTGCTGTTTTATTCTCTATATGACAAGAAAACTTAGTCCAGATATGACCCATAAGAACTTGGAAACAGTTTGAATCTAGTCAGTCACATTGGATCTACAAAGCAAAACTTGTTTTTGCCTGAAATCCACCACATCTGTCAACACCCCAAATCTGATTATTCATGGAGTAAAATGTTAAGATGTTATATTTTTATTATCACAAAGTAGCAATGCTGTGATTTCTCTGTACAACAGAATTTCGACTATGGACAAAATTAAATAATTTGTTTTGGAGACAGCGTCTCACTCTGTTGCCCTGGCTAGAGTGCAGTGGTGTGATCTTGGCTCACTACAATCTCAGTGTCCTGGGCTCAAGCAATCCTCCCACCTCAGCCTCCCAAGTAGCTGGGACTACAGACACGTGCCACCACGCTTGGCTAATTTTTGTATTTTTTTATAGAGACAGGTTTTCACCATGCTCACCCCCAGTCTCAAATTCCTGGACTCAAGTGATCCACCCACCTTGGCCTCCTGAAGTGCTGGGATTACAGGTGTGAGCCATTGCACCTTGCCAAAATTAAATAATTTTGATTTTCACCTTAGTATGATTGTAAGTGTACTTCATGATGGCTATCTCTATGAGAATCAAAATAACTTTTGCTTCCTTTGATTCTTAAAAAAAATCTTGAAGGTATTTTTCCTCTGACACAACTAACTGGCTTGAAATCAGCCTGTGTTTTTTCAAAGCTTGGGTTTCCTTCAGTTTTGTCTCTCTGTCAGGTGAAGAGTTGAAGTTATTAACATTACCTTGTTCTCTCACTTTAAACAGAAAATTCCTCTCCCTTGTCATATCACATGAAAAGAAAAAAATGCAAAGGAAGTGGCAGTCTTAAATTCTTTAGTACACTAAGCCAATTCAAAGGGAAAACAATGATAACACTTTGCCGTGGGATATTTTTGGTAAAACCATTTGTTGAAATTGTTTTGAAATACCATTTTGTATTGCATGACAGAAACCACATTTCTGTTATCCGCAAGTCAAATGAAGGGCTTTTCAGGGGGAAGCCCTTCCTGAAAATCGGTGTGAATTTTCCATAATAGAGCTTGACTGTGGCAGTCATGGGATCTGAAAGTTCTCTGGGGGGTCCAAGAAGAAGGGGCAGTTCCCTAAGTAATTCCCTTTTTATGAGCACATCCAAGATATGTGAACCTGCATCCCATACCTCTAGCACCATTTCTGAGACAACTCTCCTGCTCCCTGCATGTGATCAGGCTTTTGAAAACTGCCTGTCATATAACCCATGGAAGACAGCATTTTTAAAATTACTGCTCTCTGGGTAATCTAGTCCGTTACATGAAAAACATTGTAGTTTTTTTTTGGTAACAAAAACATTTGAAAAATCATGTACGAAAAATTCCTAGATTTTTCTCTCTGACCTAAATTCTTTTTATTATATTTTTAATAAGAAATAAGAGTAGGAAGAAAGGCTTGCTTATATTCTTGTAACCTGGATATCATTGCAAAAGCTGGGAAAATGTGGAAAACTATACATCCAACTCTTCAATGACAAGAAGAAGTTAGTAATATTCTCATTAGGAAAAGGAAGATAATTATAGTCACATCAAGTTGGTTCCCATCTCTGGGCTCTTGCAGTTTCTATTCCTTCTTCCTCTTACATTCTTACTCTTTTTCCAGGCTGGTGTTTTCTCCTCAAATGTCACCTTCTAGGTCTCAGCTCAAATGTCATCATCTCAGAGAGGCTTTCTTGACCCTCAATCTGATACCTTTCCCTTCATTCCCAACTCTTATCACATTCCTTGGTTTACATTTTTTCTTAGCACGAATCCTGTCCTGAAATCACCTATTTATGTGTTGCTTTTCTGGTTTAACTGTCTCCCTAACTTGGCTGTAAATTCCAAAGAGTAGGGGCCATATCAGTTTTTTTTACTGTAGTAACTTGGATGCTAAGAATAGTGCCCGAAATGGACGTGGATGGACAATGAGATAGCAATATTGTTATATTTACAAAAACAAAAGAAGTTAATAGGTAGACCTTGTTGAATAGCTTGAGGGAGTAAAACATTAAAAATTTTATTATAGTAGAAATATTGATACAGTTTGTTGTTATATTTATATTTGGTTGTTATATTTATAATTGTTTATCTAAAGCACATGCTCATTAGGGCTGTATTTGTCAACATCACAACTTTGGGAACCAAAGTGGGGTGCACCTAGAGGGCTCTTTTCCAGATTCCAGAACACTGGCATCAAAGAGGACATCTCTCCCATACCAGTTGTATTAGGATGTTTTAGCTTCACGTAATTAAAATCCTGACTCTAATCGGGTGAAAACATAAGTCTTATGGAAGGAAGGGCTCAGCATTGGTTGATTTAGCAGTTTAAAATTCCATCAAGGATTCAGGTTTTCTTTTCTTTTTTTTTTTTGAGACAGAGTTTTGCTCTTGTTACCCAGGCTGGAGTGCAATGGTGCAATCTCAGCTCACCGCAACCTCTGCCTCCTGGGTTCAGGCAATTTTCCTGCCTCAGCCTCCTGAGTAGTTGGGATTACAGGCACACGCCACCATGCCCAGCTAATTTTTTGGTATTTTTAGGAGAGACGGGGTTTCACCATGTTGACCAGGATGGTCTCAATCTCTTGACCTCGTAATCAACCCGCCTCGGCCTCCCAAAGTGCTGGGATTACAGGCTTGAGCCACCACGCCCGGCCCCGGATTCAGGTTTTCTACATCTCTCTGGTCTGCCATCATTGGATGTCATCCCTTCCAGGCAGGACAAAGTCTGAGGATGAAGAGAGAATGTTTTCTTTTATTTTTCCTAGACTTGACCCAGAAGACTTCCTGATAGGTCTCATGGGCCATAATTAGGTTGGCATACCCATTGTTAAACCAATCATTGGTAAGGGAATAAATTACACAGATAAGTTTATACCTGAGCTTGGGGGAGAGGCAGGCATCTGAACAAAATTGAGGTTCTTTTGTGAAGGAAGAAACAGGGAAGTATTGTATATTTAATCTGCTGTTCCTTGTTTGGAAGCAACAGATAATGATGTTGCTAAAACTTTTTCTCCTAAATTTTGTATTGTTTAGTCTGATGGGTAAAGACTGCTTCAAGATTCTGGGGACTGAGATGGAATGGAGACCCATACCTTAATCCAAGCTTGGACTTGGATTAAGTTCAATCTTCCACTCAAAAGCTTCAAGGGGAGCTCCCATTTCAGTGCCCAGCCAGCTTCTACTCCAAAGGGGGAAAGAGAAAGAGGAGACTTGGGTTCCTCTTTTAGCTTTTTGATCCCCCTATCTGACCTTAGAGAAGTATAAACTATTCTAGGGAACCCATCCCATTTCCATATGCTTTTAAATTATGTTATCTTATCCTTTATTCCCAAAGCCTAAGAAAAATGTATGGAGCTAGTTTAGGGAGGTGAGAGAGGAGGAGGTTGAGTTGTCAAAATGGAGGGAATGGTGCAACCATTTCATTTCCTGTTCACTTCCTCTATGCAGTCTTTTTACATCTGACCAAAGTAGCTTTTGCCTTTTCTTTCTTTTTTTTTTTTGAGATGGAATCTCACTCTCGCCCAGGCTGGAGTGCAGTGGTGTAATCTCAGCTCACCACAACCTCCGCCTCCCGGGTTCAAGTGATTCTCCTGCCTCAGCCTCCCGAGTAGCTGGGACTACAGGTACCTGCTACCACGCCTAGCTAATTTTTGTATTTTTAGTAGAGATGGGGTTTCACCATATTGGCCAGGCTGGTCTCGAACTCCTGACCTTCTGATCCGCTCACCTCAGCCTCCCAAAGTGTTGGGACTACAGGTGTGAGCCACTGTGCCCGGCTTCTTTTGCCTTTTATATAATTCTATTGGAGCTTTTTAAATGTCCCATGACAGAATGAGACTAAGGACAAAATAGATAAGATAATATGAATTATGATCCAAAATGTTCAAGACTCCTCAGCCTCTATGCCATTACCAATTGCTGACTATATAAGGGTGGTTTAAATGCAAGAGGTATGTCAAGCCAGGAAATGTCATGGAATAATGGGATATGTTGTTTGAGGATACATTCTTAATACTTTTTAACATCTTAAACATTTTGTAGTAGATTTCAAAAATGAGGAGGGCTAGCCTTGTGTGTGTGTGTGTGTGTGTGTGTGTGTTTTATTTGTTACTTGTACCTTCATAGATCAGGGCTTTTCTCACTCCTCATTCCATATCTGATTACTGACTTAGTTTTGTCCTTTCCACAGCCACTAACTCAGTCTTGGCCTTTGTCAAAGTACAAATAAATCCTTTTGTTCTTGAAATTTCCCAATTACTTTTAAGTGCTTCACTGATAAAAAGATTGGCTTCTAATCTGTCTCTGATGTTCCCAGGTAGCCATTACAAGACCAAACAGAAAAGGGAGGAAAATCAGTGTTTTTGATTTCTTGTTGATATTTTCTCTTCTGCTTTTGGTTTTAGAGTCTAACGTGAAGACATTTTGCTCCACGAATATCCTAGCCATCCTTGGCTTCGCCTCTATCATAGCTGTGATAGCTTTGCTTGCTGTAGGGCTGACTCAGAACAAAGCATTGCCAGAAAATGTTAAGGTAAGTCAAATACGTGTGTGTGTTTGTGTGTATGTGTATGTAAGAAGAGATCTGGGTGGGACAGGGGAGGACGGGTAAGGAATACAGAGCATCAGAGGGGAGTTGAGGTTCTAACAGCCCAGGAACAAGTCCATTTTCACTGAATTAGGCAAGTAAAATGGAAATCGGTGCTCATTCTAGAAGAGAAAATGCCTTGAATCAATTAGTGGTGGGAAGATAACTGCCTTTATGATTGTTTAGCAAAAACTCATTAAATTGATTCTCTGACAGAAATGAATGCTTTACTCACCTCATCCAGATCTGTGTAATACTATGCCACACGATTCTATATTCTAGTATATTTCTACTTCTTCATCATGGGTGGATCACAGTACTGCACTCTGTTCTTTTTACTTCATTATTATCACTATCACCAAAACAATAATGTTTATTATACAACTCTGTATAAAGCACTTTGGAAGTCAGAGATTGTAGAGAAGACATGCTATCTCCAGATATAGTAAAGAATCAAAAAAATCAATAAAAGCAAATCAGCAAACATATATATGTATTGATATAGTCATTTGAAATGAATTCACGGATAGGCAGATTTCTTGTGAAATCTCTACATTTGAACAACTAGTTAATATCATTAAAAATCATTAGGATCATTAACTGTAACATATTTCTGTTTTCTTTCCAGTTCATTGAAATAAAATTTCAGACACGAATATCTCACAAGTACTTTGTAATATGGTCATTATTTAATCAGTTAATTAAAAACTATGTGGTAAATCAAAATTTATATTGTAAATATACCATTTTAAACTTTCACTGAAATTATAGTAAACAAATATACAAGGGCCTAGATGATACCAATATGTTAATAAGCATGTATGTACATGTGGGCAGTAATATATCCAGAAGTTAACTTGACCGTGGAGGCCTGAGAATACATGTGTAGAAGTATATTCTCCTGTATTTGAAGATGTTGAACTGGGAGGCAATAAGGATGGTTACATATACCAGGCCTCTGAAACTTTTGCCATCCACCCAAATCACTGTATAGAAGAAGCGTGGGTGTCACACTGGCATCTTTTTGTCAAGTTCAACCCAGTGGGGCTGTGTACAGCAGCCCCTTTGTCAAGACAGAAGGCTGATACTATCTCATTGTGAAGGGTCGCTTGCCTTTTAATGTTGAGTGATGTTGTTTCCTTGGCAGAACTTCACTCACAGTTGAAGCCTCATGACATCTTGGTTCCATTATTTGTTTACCAGCTCCAAAAATACATGATTGCCTTCTTAATTTGACCTTTTTGCATGTTCAGTATTGCATCACTGGAGAGGGGGACGCCTAGGAGACAAAATCCATGACAAACTTGAATTATGTTCCCAAAAATATGTGTGGTCACGGACAACCTTCCCTCATTCACAGTGGTCTCCTTCAAGTCTGTTGTGCTTCTGCATTGTTATATGGGCCTGGAAAAATGGAACAAGGTCTTTGGCCTTCTTTTTTTTTTTTTTTTTTGAGACGGAGTTTCACTGTTGTTACCCAGACTGGAGTGCAATGGCACGATCTCGGCTCACTGCAACCTCTGCCTCCTGGGTTCAAGCAATTCTCCTGCCTCAGCCTCCCGAGTAGCTGGGACTACAGGTGCGCACCACCATGCCCACCTAATTTTTGTATTTTTAGTAGAGACGGGGTTTTAACCTTGTTGACCAGGATGGTCTCGATCTCTTGACCTCGTGATCCACCTGCCTCTGCCTCCCAAAGTGCTGGGATTATAGGCGTGAGCCACCGTGCCCGGCTATTTGGCCTTCTTTAAATAAAAGGTAGGAGTATTGAAGAGCAGTTACTGGCATCTGAAGTGAATCTTTTTAATACTTTCACCGATTCATTTTATAGAAAGATAGTTTTATTTATGCAAACTAGCCATTTGTTGAAGTTATACAATAATTTTAGTAAGATTCCTGGCATATATTGGGGGCAAAATATTTCAGGAACTTGTATTTTGGTGATGGCTTTAAACCAGATGTGCTGTCCCTTTTGATAGCCACTAGCCACATGCAGATCTTTACAGCTGTCAATTAAAATTAAATAAAATAAAAAATTCTGTCCCTCTGTTGCATTAGCCACATTTCAAGTGCTCAATAGCCACACATGGTTGGTGGCTACTGAATTGGACAACACAGGTAAAGAATATTTCCATTGCTGCAGAAAGTTCTATCGGACATTGCCACTTTAAAGCATACTCTTTAATGATAACTCTGAAATAATTCAAAACTAAGTTTAATGAATAAGGTATATGATAAAACATTTTATAAAATCTACAATAAGAAACAAAACAAAAAAACAAAAAAACAAAAAAAAAAAAAAAAAGAAACAAAACAACTTTTTTTCTTGCGTGATCTGTAAACTAGTTCAGGATCATCCCAAATATGATGGGCTACTAAACTGTTTTGAGTAGTTTATTGAAATAAATATATTTGCTTCCAAAAATGACCATTTAAAAGATAATACTTGTTTGGATATTTGTACTGATACATGTGTTTTAAGAACACACAATGACATGACTTTATGACCATACCTCATTCAGCAGTTCTTCATTCATTTTTCATAAAATTATGCAATGAAATTTATTGCACTCCAGCCTGGGTGACAAGCTAAGACTCTGTCTCAAAAAAAAGTAAAATAAAAAATATTCATTGTCTGTGTTAGGCATTGGGCTACACAATTGGGAAGCCAGTATATATAGATATGACTGAGCTTACCATCTGGGGAAGCAAACATATTTAGTAACACATATTATTAATTATAATTGTGATAAATTGCCACCAAATGAAAGTTTTGGGGCCAGGCAAGTTCTTCCCTGAAAAAAAAAAATGACATTAACAATAATATCCAAAGAATGATTGGAAGTTAGCTGAGAAAGAGACAGTTAAAAAATATTCCAGGCAAGGCCAGGTGCAGTGGCTCATGCCTGTAATCCCAGCACTTTGGGAGGCCAAGGTGGGTGGATTGCCTGAGCTCAGGAGTTCAAGACCACCCTGGACAACATGGTGAAACACTGACTCCACTAAAATACAAAAAAATTAGCTGGGTGTGGTGGCGCATACTTGTAATACCAGCTTCTCATGAGGCTGAGGAAATTTGGAATTGCTTGAGCCCTGGGGGCAGAGGTTGCAGTGAGCCAAAATTGTGTCACTGCATTCCAGCTTGGGCTACAGAGTGAGACTCCATCTCAAAAAAAAAAAAAAAAAAAAGAGTATTCCAGGCAGAAGGAAAGTAGGTATAAGAGTCCTGAAACAGGAAGGAGTTGGATATCTCCTAGAAACTAGTTGGAGCACAGGAGTGGGCCACATGTTACATAAAGATGGGGAGGTAGGTGGTACAGGCAGGACCCTGCAAGACAGGTTGAGGATTTCAGTTTTAATCCTCAGAGCAGTGGGAAGCTAGTTATGTGATCAGATTTGTTTTTGCAAAGATCACTCTGATTTCAACGAATTAGAGGGGGATGAGATGGAGGAGGATACCAATAAGAGGCTACGACAAAAATTTGGAAAGGGGGAGGTTTTGGGTTCTGTTTTTGAAGAATTGTTTTGAGTGTTGGAAAGCCAAGGGGAAATGTCAAGAAAGCAGTTGGATAATCAGTTTTGGACCTTTCTTTTCTGAGCAGATGTCTACTGCCGTGCTCAACAGAAAAATAATGCAAGCCAAATTTTAATTTTCAAAGGGCCACATTTTAAAAAGTTAAAGAGGTGAAATTAACTTTAATAACATATTTTATGTAGTCCAATGCATCCAAAATATTATTTCAACATTTCATGAAAATAAAGAGTTGTTGGCTGGGCGGGGTGGCTCACGCCTGTAATCCCAGCACTTTGGGAGGCTGAGGCAGGCAGATCACAAGGTCAGGAATTCAAGACCAGCCTGTCCAACATAGTGAAACCCTGTGTCTACTAAAACTACAAAAAAAAAAAAAAAAAAAAAAAAAAAAAGGCCAGGGATGGTGTCGGGTGCCTGTAGTCTCAGCTACTTGGGAGGGGCTGAGGCAGGAGAATCACTTGAACCCAGGAGGCAGAGGTTGCAGTGAGCCGAGATCATGCCATTGCATTCCAGTCTGGGCGACACAGTGAGACTGTCTCAAAATAAAATTGTTAATCATATATATTACATTCTTTTTTCATACTGTCTTCAAATTTTAACTTACAGCATATCTGAATTCCAACTAGTCACATTTCAAGTGCTCAGTTACCAGCTATTTGTTACCCTGTTAGATAGTACAGGCCTAGATTAAAGGTATGTCTCTAATGGCATTGATTGACTAATGCCTTAGAAATGGAAGAGTTCATCTAGGAAGCAGGTATAAAGTAAGAAGAGGGTCAAGGTCCAACTCCTGAGAAGCTCTATCATTTAAAGCAGGGTCCCCATCCCCCAGGCCACAGACCAGAACAGCATGAGGTAAGCAGCAGGTGAGTGAGCAAAACTTCATCTGTATTTATAGTTGCTCCCCATCACCTGCATTACTGCCTGAGCTCCATCTCCTGTCAGATTAGTGTCAGCATTAGATTCTCATAGGAGAGCGAACCCTATTGCAAACTGCACATATGTGGGAGGATCTGGATTGCGCGCTCCTTGTGGGAATCTAATGCCAAATGATCTTTCAGTGTCTCCTGTCACCCCCAGATGGGACTGTCTAGTTGCAGGAAAGCAAGCTCAAGGCTCCTATTTATTCTACATTATGGTGAGTTGTATAATTATTTCATTATATATTACAATGTAATAATAGAAATAAAGTGCACAATAAATGTAATGCACTCAAATCATCCCAAAACCATTGCTCCCTCCTCACCACCCCTGGGTCTATGGAAAAATTGTCCTCCAAGAAACTGGTCCCTGGTGCCAAAAAAGTTGGGGACCACTAATTTAAAGGGTGAATAGGGAAGGAATTTTTCCTAAAGCATAATAACATTATGTAGTGTTTTGCAGTTATAAATCATTTCCACATGCATTTCCATTGTTTCTTCCTATCAGTACTGTGAAGAATGGAAGGTTATCCCCATTTTATACATAACAAAATCAAAACCTAAGATGTTCTCTAACCCAAGGCAGAGGTGGAGCTAAAACTAGAATTCCAGTTTTCTGATCCGAAGACTAATGTTCTTTTCATTTGTCTTAGTGAGTTTTTCCAAACAACACATTCTATTAACAGAAATTGCATGCAGGATGTTTATTTTGGGAAGTGATTCCAAGGAAACAAAGAGGGAAAGCTATCCCAAGAGAGAGTCAGGAACAAATTACCACATTGGGCAACTGAGGCTTAATCCTCCCAGGGACCCCCTGAAGAGCTGTGGAGAGTGAACTTTAGAATTGTCTGCCCTAGGGATTTATCCCCTGGTTCTTATCACCTGTTGCTCCCATCAAGGGT